CCAACAGATAACTATAAAACTACTTAGTAAGTGTGCGTCGAAGTTTTTTTTTAATTCCGCATCTGATGAACTACTGGAGTTATCGTAACGGAGGGCATTTCCGACTTGAGTCCCTTCTCTGTGACTTAACTTTTTCGGCAACAGCACCGAACTTATTTCGAAATATACATTTCACCGTGTATAATTTTCTTCACGAAAGTTTGAGTTTAATCTACATCCACCATGTGCACACCGAAGGCACCTCTCCAACATCCGGGACAAAGTCCGAAACTCTGGCAGCTACCGTGGTACCAGATTAATTGGCTCTCTATTTCGACCTCAGGTCAAATCAAAGGTCAAGGATACATTTAAGACCACCAGTTTGTAGTCTCAGCAGACAAGAGGTAGCACCTATCTTTCCCCAGATAAAAATCACACCAAAAGGAAGGAGTACAACAACCTTATATAGTGATCAATAAAGGTATTATTGTTCAAAGTTCAGAAACTCAGTTTCCTAGACGTGCTCCAGAATGTTCGTGAGGGGTGTTGTCTTCAAAATGATATCGCTCTCAAGATATTTGGATCTAATTTCGACTAAAGAATTTTATCTTCTCATTTACGATTACATAAATCGCTCAGGCCAAATTTATAATTTTTGGAAAATTTTAAATGTTGTCAACCTTTTGTAAATTTGCAAATTTCTTTGAATAATAATACTTTTATAACATTACGAATGCAAATCAAATACATAATAAAATATTTATGTCAAAAAAAATCTTGCAATATCATCATTTATTTATTTCCATTTTTAATATTCTTAAATCACTTTTCTCCCTTGATAATGAACCTGAGAAAACAAACGAAGGGTTTCAAACTACATATTTACATACACACATAAAAATGGAATGATTTAAGATGTCACGTTGGCAATTGCGAAAAGTTGAATCCTTTATTTATGCCATATCCTGTTAAGTTCAGTGCAATATATTGGGTTTCGCATGCTGCATCATGCTGTGAATGAATTTACACGTGATTTAAAATCTTATAATACACCTATAAAACAAGTAAGAGTGTTATATTCGGCTATGCCGAATCTTATATACCCACCATCAAACCACGTTTGACTCGAATGAAACTTATTTATGTCGAATTTCATCTATATACTAGTATTTTTAAGCCAGTAATGAGCGTTAAAGTCATTTTCTGAAGGGGACCTTATAGGGGTAAGGTCAGTAATGAACCGATCCTCATAAAATTTTGTATAGTAATTTTGGATTATAAGAAACTTACTTATGTCAAATTTTTAAACAAGTTTTGGCTGTTAAAGCTGCTTTTCGAGGGGCCACTTGTATGGGGGCTATCCGAAAACGTGGACCGATATTGCCCATCTTCAATACCAAACAAACCTTACCTATAAGAAATATTTATGTGAAATTTCAATCCTCTAGCTCTTTCCATTCGGACTCTATCGTGCTTTCAACAGACAGACGGACAGACATGGCTAGATCGTCTTAGAATTTAATGAGGACCCAGAATATATATACTTTTGTGGGTCTATGACCAATATTTCGATGTGTTACAAACGGAATGACAAAATCAATATACCGCCCATGTTTTTTGATGGTGGGTATAAAAGCTATATAAACGCAAACAATAGTATATGGCTGTGTTTGGGGAATGAGTAATACAAAGCTGTGGGTAATATAATGTTATTGACGTTATTTCCTGTTTCCGCATGTTTACGTCAGAGATGTTATTTCTTTGGAAAACAGCTACATGTATTCAACGTTTGTGAAGCTTTTCAATTCTTGACAAATGTTTAAGAGAAAATTTTGCAACTAAAGTAACTATAGTTACATTGTAATACGAAGAAAACTAATTCAACCATCAGTTTATCAAAAGGATGTAATAATAATTCAACAAACAAACAAACAAACAAAATAACTACTAACTAACTAACTAACTAACTAACTAACTAACTAACTAACTAACTAACTAACTAACTAACTAACTAACTAACTAACTAACTAACTAACTAACTAACTAACTAACTAACTACTAACTAACTAACTAACTAACTAACTAACTAACTACTAACTAACTAACTAACTAACTAACTAACTAACTAACTAACTAACTAACTAACTACTAACTAACTAACTAACTAACTAACTAACTAACTAACTAACTAACTAACTAACTAACTAACTAACTAACTAACTAACTAACTAACTAACTAACTAACTAACTAACTAACTAACTAACTAACTAACTAACTAACTAACTAACTAACTAACTACTAACTAACTAACTAAGTAGTAACTAACTAACTAACTACTAACTAACTAACTAACTAACTAACTAACTAACTAACTACTAACTAACTAACTAACTAACTAACTAACTAACTAACTAACTAACTAACTAACTAACTAACTAACTAACTAACTAACTAACTAACTAACTAAACTAACTAACTAACTAACTAACTAACTAACTAACTAACTAACTAACTAACTAACTAACTAACTAACTAACTACTAACTAACTAACTAACTAACTAACTAACTAACTAACTACTAACTAACTAACTAACTAACTAACTAACTAACTAACTAACTAACTACTAACTAACTAACTAACTAACTAACTAACTAACTAACTAACTAACTAACTAACTACTAACTAACTAACTAACTAACTAACTAACTAACTAACTAACTAACTAACTAACTAACTAACTAACTAACTAACTAACTAACTACTAACTAACTAACTAACTAACTAACTAACTAACTAACTAACTACTAACTAACTAACTAACTAACTAACTAACTAACTAACTAACTAACTAACTACTAACTAACTAACTAACTAACTAACTAACTAACTAACTAACTAACTAACTAACTAACTAACTAACTAACTAACTAACTAACTAACTAACTAACTAACTACTAACTAACTAACTAACTAACTAACTAACTAACTAACTAACTAACTAACTAACTAACTAACTAACTAACTACTAACTAACTAACTAACTAACTAACTAACTAACTAACTAACTAACTAACTAACTAACTAACTACTAACTAACTAACTAACTAACTAACTAACTAACTAACTAACTAACTAACTAACTAACTAACTAACTAACTAACTAACTAACTAACTAACTAACAACTAACTAACGTAACTAACTAACTAACTAACTAACTACTAACTAACTACACTAACTAACTAACTAACTAACTAACTAACTAACTAACTAACTCTACTAACTAACTAACTACTAACTAACTAACTAACTAACTAACTAACTAACTACTAACTACTAACTAACTAACTTAACTAACTACTAACTAACTAACTAACTAACTAACTAAACTACTAACTAATACTTACTAACTAACTAACTAACTAGCTAACTAACAAACAAACTAACATCATGAGAGCACCTGAAGAACCATTTTTTTTACTAGTCGCAGTTTAGCGTCAGTCTCTGGTAGAAGGGATACTTCCACCAAGTTCTTGAGGGTGCCTGTATATTTTTAATCTACCAATATTACGCTCGTGCTGAACACGTACTTTACGCTCTCTACTGGTTATTTGCCCTTCAAAGCGATTTAATTGACCCAGGTTTCTGTGTTGGTCTATTGGAATATTTTCTGTCGGATTTCGGTATAATATACTGTATATCACTGATCTGGTTCACTTTGCTGGTGATATGCAAAGAGAATCCAATATATACTTCGTAGTATCCTAGGATTGAGTCACTACGATTTACTGGAGCATCTTCTTCAGTAAATCGTAGTAAATCAGTGATATCATAGGTAGCTTAACTATGATATCACTTACATCCTTCACCATTCGCTCTATTTCGTATTTTTTGTACTTGGTATGATGTTTGAACCTTCACCTATATTTAAAGGCTGAGGTTTCACCCCTACATTTTTGGCAACGGCAGTACATCCTCATCCCCTCATCCTCAGTAGTTTTTTGCTCACGATTGTAGGTTGATGTCAACACATGATTCGCGAGCAGAACAACACTTACCGCCGGTACTAGGTTATTTAGACCGAGAACCATAACTTTAATACATTATTATTACTTTCCATATTATTGTTTTTGTTGTAAGATTGTCGTCTTGTCCAATTATCGTATGTATCTAAAAATCATATTATTTATGAAGCATGGTGAAAATTGAACAAAATCTATAGCTAGAGGTTCGATCCACGTTTACCTTTTTAACGCAGGTGTAAGCTCTTATATAATCGGGCATAACCGACATTATTTTATTACTTTTGATTAGCAGAGTTTCCGTTCTATTTAGCATTAACTTCACTGTCAAGAACATACAATATACATACATACATATGTATATTGTACATATGTATTTGTTATATATATTTTTGTTGTCAAATAAATAACTTTTTTAGCAGTTATTAATAAAAAAAACCGTTGTAAAACAAAAGCAGAATAAGTTCGAGCTTTTTTAAGTTTTGGCTTTTTTTCTTTCTTCATACTTTAATAAATATGAAATGAAAAGCTTAAAAATAATATTGAAAAAGCTTTAGTATACAATAGCACGACCAAAGCTTTAAATATTCTTTTACATTATTATATGTATATAGTAATGGTAAGGTATATAGGATTTCTGGAGCAACCTAACTTTATAAAGTTTTAAAAAGTCAGATTTTTAGTAATTTGTTAATTTTTACTTATCGACTTTTTGAATTTTATCTGAATTTTTATATTCTTTCCGACTACTACTACTCCACTTTAATTTTCAAAATCTATTATACATAATTTTTTGTTTTGGAAACCCTATGCTACCAACAAGTTGTTTGCAAAAAAACGTTACAATAGACACAGTTTGAACTTTCAAAACAAGGGTTACTTGAAATATGGTGGGGGTTGATTTAGGAACCATGAAAACTATTATGAGTGAAACTTTTTGCAATAGACTACAAAGTATTTACTCGTACTCATATTAGAGATAAACAATAAGTTGACTTTGGTGAAAATTTCAAGTGCAATGAGTGCATTTGCCAGCAACACGTTGTCGTGTAAAGACCGAAAACGCGGAACATTAAACGAGTGTAATACCGATAACGATTGTAATTAATTAATAAATATAGTATAAAAGTGCAAATTGTTTGAGAAAATATAAATTATTTTTATAAAAAAGAGTAATTGCAATTGTGTTTTTATTTAAGTTTCAACAATGTCGGTTAATATAATTTGGTTCCGTCATGGTTTAAGACTGCACGATAATCCAGCTCTATTGGAAGCTATATCGGATAAAGATTTAGGCATAGAACTATTGCCGATTTTTATATTTGATGGAGAAAGTGCGGGTAAGTGTATGACCGGCTGACGTATGGATTAGTTTGAGTGAAAGAACATTTAAACAAAGAAACCTTATAAAAAGAGCGCAATTTTGTAAATAAACCAACTAGAATATAAACAAGTAAAAGTTCTATATTCGGCTGTGCTGAATCTTATATACCCTTTACAATGATGTATTAAAAAACCTACAATTATTACAAAAAATCAGAAAGTCCTCTTTTATAGATATTCGTTCAATCAGGGTGCTGCGTATGTGCATAAAAACCGAAGAATGTACCTGGTACGATAAATATTTTTCTTCAGATTTGTATTAACTTCGGGCTCTTAATGTTTCATCGTTCAATATTACATGTTCCCGCTCCGTGCCCTACATGCGAAATTTCATGTTTTTAGGCCCAATATTATAGAAAAGTACCTTTTGAAGGCCGAAAAAGTACCAGAAAGTCCCATTTTATGTTTTCTCACTTAATCCGGGTTCTACACACTTAATTTCATGCTTCTAGGTTTAATATTATAGAAAATTCAAAAAGTACCTTTTGTAGAACGAAAAACTGCCAAAAAGCCCCATTTTATGTGTACTTTAAAAGTACCTTTTGTAGAACGAAAAACTACCAAAAAGTATCTTTTTATGTGTTCTCACTTAATCCGGGCTCTACCTACTTAATTTCATATTTTTAGGTTCAATATTATAGAAAATTCAAAAAGTACCTTTTGTACAATGAAAAAGTACGAAAAAGTTTCCTCTTTTATAGGTTCTCACCTAATCCGAGCTCAATATACTTAATTTCATGTTCCTAGCTTAATCGACTCCGCTATTTATAAGGACTCGGAATATATATACTTTATAGGGTCGGAAATTCTATTTCAGAAATTACAAACGGAATGACAAACTTATATATACCCTTCTCATGAAGGTGAAGGGTATAAAAAGGTCTATCATATGTGACTTGACCAATTATAAACACAGATGTAATAGGGTTAGCAGATATAATGGGAATTTATAATTACAGAGCATCACAAGAAAAACTTTTTAACTGAAATCCGTTACTTCAAAATAGTCGGAGAAAGATTAAGAAAACTGAAGATTTCATTTCTAGCGCCCGTGTGCACCCGTTCTGACCCAAAGTCGGAATTTTTGTGAAAAAATTATGAACAAAAAATGTTTTGAGATATGTGTGTGTTTTTTATAGAATCTTAGTATAGCCTGGATAGAACTAAAAGCAACATTTTGTTTTGCAATTTAAAATGGACGAGAAACCACGCCCATATACAAAATACGCATTAAAATTTGCATATATTAGAAACCTTAAATTTTGGATTAACAACTCTGACATTTAGAATCAGTGGGCGTGGTATCTTTCATATTAATAAAATACTAAATTTTGTATGTATTTCTGGGAAACTATAAATATTGCACAGTCAATATTTGTGCTATAGAATAGCACAATTAGGGGAAGATGGACGAACTATCACTAGTTGGCGTGGTATCTTTCATATAAATTAAATACCAAAATATCGGAGATACTATAACAACTAGAGTAACCAAATTAGGTGTGAGTATATTCGTAAGAATATAAATATTTAAGAATATGGAAGTCGGAAATATAATAGGCGTGGCATATCGCATATGAATAAGATTTTTCACAAGTAACTTTAATATCAATATAAATATTTAAAACTTAAATGGGCGGAACAGTAATAGAGGGCGCGGTTAAACATATAAAACTGTTGTCAGCCTTATAAGGAGGGCCAAAGCTTGGCATTTTCCTACAAAGTGAAGTAATGAGCTGACGTTCGAAACAATGTTCGTACAATGGAAGACCAAATTTTGATTACTTGATGATCATTTGTAATTTATTTATCAACATTGCCTATGTTTCTTATGAGGAACAAAGGGCGAACACAAGTCTGCTGTTACTTGATCTCCATCCAGCTAAGGCCGTTTTGAGAGGCTTCATTCTTAAGTTGCAGTCTCGACCACTTCTCTGTGTATTACACTGTGTGCCCAGTCTATGATAGTTTTTGAAATGTCTACAGAGGTCTTCAGTAGCTTATGACCTACACATCACAATCTAACGCCCGTAAGTACATTGAAGCAAGCACTGACAGCGTTGTCTTACACGACCAGATGTTCTACATCATTATAAAGTAATTGGATCAGTGTTACAAATTTTGGTAGTAATTCTGCTATTCATTATCTGTACTATGAACTTGATCACTGTACTCAGTAAGGCAATCCGTAAGATCTCCTTATTTAGGAATGTTTGCCGGCAACCCTAAAAGTTCCGAATAGTAGTAATAAGAGCTTTTCTGGGGCTATATAATCACCTCCTGGAGCATTTAATATTAGCCTTTAATGCCTATTTTGGCATTCAATATTTCATCGAAGACAGGAGATATAGTGAGATATAGTGTCTTACTGAATAGTAATTATAACTACATAAGCATCCAGTGGATAACGAATTCTAAAAAGGATCACTAACATATCTGATCAAACCCTTTTTAGACGAAATTTAAGATTAAAGCAATTTGTTTAAACTCCAACTTATAGGAAATTTTTGGATCTCTAAGAAATTAAATTCAATACCTTTTTAAATAATTCCTAAAGAAATAATATTCGACTAATATTTGTTACTCTTTCCGCAGGCACTAAATCAGTTGGCTATAATCGTTTAAAGTTCCTTCTGGATTCCCTGAAAGATATTTACGATCAGCTGCAAAATCTCAGCTTAAGTCTGGGACGATTGTATGTATTGCAAGGAAATCCAGTACAAATATTTCGACGTCTACATGAGCAATGCGGCATAAGGAAATTATGTTTTGAGCAGGATTGTGAACCGATTTGGAATAGACGTGATAATGCGGTGAAAAAACTTTGCCATGATTTGGGCATAACTTGCCTCGAGAGAATCTCACATACTTTATGGGACCCCAAAAAGGTTATCGATACTAATGGCGGCATACCGCCGTTAACTTATCAAATGTTTTTGGTAAATTTATTCTAAATATTAATATTAAACATTTATTTAATATATATTTATTAAAATTAGCATACAGTACAAATAATTGGCTTACCACCACGCCCAGTACCCAGTCCAGATTGGACTAATGTCAAGTTCCACAAACTAAGTGAGAAACTTATAATGGAATTAAAAGTGTATCTAGAGGTAATGGTTACATGGAGTATTTGTAAATATGTTTTCTCATTATTTTATCTTTAGTTCCCCACTCCTGAAGACTTCAATGTTTATCCCGATAACTTAAGTTATTTGGCCAAAGTCAAATGGATTGGTGGAGAAACCCAGGCCTTGCTACATTTGCATCAACGTCTCAAAGTGGAGGAAAATGCTTTTAAATGTGGTTACTATTTGCCTAATCAGGCTAAGCCCAATATTTTGGAATCTCCCAAGTCCATGAGCGCCCATTTACGTTTTGGTTGTTTGTCGGTGCGCAAGTTCTATTGGGATGTCCATGATCTCTTCAAAAATGTCCAAATGCAAGCCGAAGGTCTTGGTATGCATATGTCTGGGGGAGCTCATATAACTGGTCAGTTGATATGGCGTGAATATTTCTATACCATGTCTGTGAACAACCCAAACTATGATCGTATGGAAGATAATGAAATATGTTTGAATATACCCTGGGCTCAGCCCAATCATGAGCAAATTCAACGCTGGACAATGGGTCAAACAGGATTTCCCTTAATTGATGCCGCTATGCGTCAACTCTTAGCTGAGGGCTGGCTGCATCACACTCTCCGTAATACCGTGGCCACTTTTTTGACTAGAGGTGGTCTTTGGCAAAATTGGGAACATGGTTTACGTTATTTTCTAAAATACCTATTGGATGCTGATTGGTCAGTGTGTGCTGGCAATTGGATGTGGGTTAGCTCATCAGCATTTGAACGTTTACTCGATTCTTCGTTGGTAACATGCCCAGTGGCATTGGCCAAGAGATTAGATCCAATGGGTCAGTATATAAAACAATATGTACCTGAGCTATCTAAAGTACCTAAGGAGTATATGTGAGTATGACAATTATACTAAGTCTATTTTGGATCAGTCACATTAATATTTTTTTTATAACAGTCACGAACCCTGGCGTATGCCCTTGAATGTACAAGAGCAATCTGATTGCTTGATTGGAGTCCACTATCCGGATCGTCTGATTGATTTGAGTGTAGCCTCCCAACGTAACATGTTGGCTATGCGGGCTTTGCGTAACTCCCTTATAGCCGAAGGAGCACCCGATAATGGTCCACCACATTGTCGACCCTCAAATGAGGAAGAAATACGCAATTTCTTCTGGTTAGCCGATTAAAATGGACGATGGTGGAGCATCTAAGTGGAAACAAATTTACAAGGATCGATAAAAATTATATTAAAAAATTATACAAAACGAATATATATTCCAAATTTATCACAATAAATAACATATTTTTCTTCGTGTATTTGTTGTAATAATTGTGATTTGATTGATCCTCGATGTGTTTTTGATAAATGTTTAAAACTAATTCTAGAACCCGTTCATTGATTAGATATTTGTTATCCTTTTTAAATACGTCCAAATGTTAGATACACTCAAGAATAACAAACCCCTGTCACAATATTTCATTCATTGCAGATTTTGTAAGAATTTTAATTTAAGAAATATTATTAAAAACTTGAATTTTTAAATCAAAGTTTACAAAATCTTAACAAATGGTTAAATTCCCTGGAGCAAAAAATTCAGAATCTGTTCTAATAAAACTTGTTCTAGAGCGAGTGCAAACAAAACATTTCAGATTATTGAATTACGTTTATGGAACTAGTGATATCGCCATTACTTCTGAATCTAAAGTGCTTCTAAGGAGTTGTTTAAAAGAAAAAATTGTTATGCAAATATTTCCGTTTAGTCTATAATATAGTCTACAATCTAGTATCGCATATAGTCTCGTCTATAGTCTATTCTATAGTCTATTCTATAGTCTTGTCTATAGTCTAGTCTATAGTCTAGTCTATAGTCTAGTCTATAGTCTAGCCTATAGTCTAGTTTATAGTCTAGTCTGTAGTCTAGTCTGTAGTCTAGTCTATAGTCTAGTCTATAGTCTAGTCTATAGTCAAGTCTATAGTCTAGTCTATAGTCTAGTCTATAGTCTAGTCTATAGTCTAGTCATAGTCTAGTCTATAGTCTAGTCTATTCTATAGTCTAGTCTATAGTCTAGTCTATAGTCTAGTCTATAGTCTAGTCTATAGTCTAGTCTATAGTCTAGTCTATAGTCTAGTCTATAGTCTAGTCTATAGTCTAGTCTATAGTCTAGTCTATAGTCTAGTCGATAGTCTAGTCTATAGTCGAGTCTATAGTCTAGTCTATAGTCTAGTCTATAGTCTAGTCTATAGTCTAGTCTATAGTCTAGTCTATAGTCTAGTCTATAGTCTAGTCTATAGTCTAGTCTATAGTCTAGTCTATAGTCTAGTCTATAGTCTAGTCTATAGTCTAGTCTATAGTCTAGTCTATAGTCTAGTTATAGTCTAGTCTGTAGTCTGTCTGTAGTCTAGTCTATAGTCTAGTCTATAGTCTAGTCTATAGTCTAGTCTATAGTCTAGTCTATAGTCTAGTCTATAGTCAAGTCTATAGTCTAGTCTATAGTCTAGTCTATAGTCTAGTCTATAGTCTAGTCTATAGTCTAATCTATAGTCTAGTCTATAGTCTAGTCTATAGTCTAGTCATTATTAAAAACTTGATTTTTTAAATTAAAGTTTACAAAACCTTAACAAATGGTTAAATTCCCAGGAGCAAAAAATTCAGAATCTGTTCTAATAAAACTTGTTCTAGAGCGAGTGCAAACAAAACATTTCAGATTATTGAATTACATTTATGGAACTAGTGATATCGCCATTACTTCTGAATCTAAAGTGCTTCTAAGGAGTTGTTTAAAGAAAAAATAGTTATGCAAATATTTCCGTTTAGTCTATAATATAGTCTACAATCTAGTCTCGCATATATCTAGTCTATAGTCTAGTCTACAGTCTAGTCTATAGTCTAGTCTATAGTCTATTCTATAGTCTAGTCTATAGTCTAGTCTATAGTCTAGTCTATAGTCTAGTCTATAGTCTAGTCTATAGTCTAGTCTATAGTCTAGTCTATGGTCTAGCCTATAGTCTAGTTTATAGTCTAGTATGTAGTCTAGTCTGTAGGCTAGTCTGTAGTCTAGTCTATAGTCTAGTCTATAGTCTAGTTTATAGTCTAGTCTATAGTCTAGTCTATAGTCAAGTCTATAGTCTAGTCTATAGTCTAGTCTATAGTCTAGTCAATAGTCTAGTCTATAGTCTAGTCTATAGTCTAGTCTATAGTCTAGTCTATAGTCTAGTCTATAGTCTAGTCTATAGTCTAGTCTATAGTCTAGTCTATAGTCTAGTCTATAGTCTAGTCTATAGTCTAGTCTATAGTCTAGTCTATAGTCTAGTCTATAGTCTAGTCTATAGTCTAGTCTATAGTCTAGTCTATAGTCTAGTCTATAGTCTAGTCTATAGTCTAGTCTATAGTCTAGTCTATAGTCTAGTCTATAGTCTAGTCTATAGTCTAGTCTATAGTCTAGTCCATAGTCTAGTCTATAGTCTAGTCTATAGTCTAGTCTATAGTCTAGTCTATAGTCTAGTCTATAGTCTAGTCTATAGTCTAGTCTATAGTCTAGTCTATAGTCTAGTCTATATTCTAGTCTATAGTCTAGTCTATAGTCTAGTCTATAGTCTAGTCTATAGTCTAGTCTATAGTCTAGTCTATAGTCTAGTCTATAGTCTAGTCTATAGTCTAGTCTATAGTCTAGTCTATAGTCTAGTCTATAGTCTAGTCTAGTCTATAGTCTAGTCTAGTCTATAGTCTAGTCTATAGTCTAGTCTAGTCTATAGTCTCGTCTATAGTCTAGTCTATAGTCTAGTCTATAGTCTAGTCTATAGTCTAGTCTATAGTCTAGTCTATAGTCTAGTCTATAGTCTAGTCTATAGTCTAGTCTATAGTCTAGTCTATAGTCTAGTCTATAGTCTAGTCTATAGTCTAGTCTATAGTCTATCTATAGTCTAGTCTATAGTCTAGTCTATAGTCTAGTCTATAGTCTAGTCTAGTCTATAGTCTAGTCTATAGTCTAGTCTAGTCTATAGTCTAGTCTATAGTCTAGTCTATAGTCTAGTCTATAGTCTTGTCTATAGTCTTGTCTATAGTCTAGTCTATAGTCTAGTCTATAGTCTAGTCTATAGTCTAGTCTATAGTCTAGTCTATAGTCTAGTCTATAGTCTAGTCTATAGTCTAGTCTAGTCTATAGTATAGTCTATAGTCTAGTCTATAGTCTAGTCTATAGTCTAGTCTATAGTCTAGTCTATAGTCTAGTCTATAGTCTAGTCTATAGTCTAGTCTATAGTCTAGTCTATAGTCTAGTCTATAGTCTAGTCTATAGTCTAGTCTATAGTCTAGTCTATAGTCTAGTCTATAGTCTAGTCTATAGTCTAGTCTATAGTCTAGTCTATAGTCTAGTCTATAGTCTAGTCTATAGTCTAGTCTATAGTCTAGTCTATAGTCTAGTCTATAGTCTAGTCTATAGTCTAGTCTATAGTCTAGTCTATAGTCTAGTCTATAGTCTAGTCTATAGTCTAGTCTATAGTCTAGTCTATAGTCTAGTCTAGTCTATACTCTAGTCTATAGTCTAGTCTATAGTCTAGTCTATAGTCTAGTCTATAGTCTAGTCTATAGTCTAGTCTATAGTCTAGTCTATAGTCTAGTCTATAGTCTAGTCTATAGTCTAGTCTATAGTCTAGTCTATAGTCTAGTCTATAGTCTAGTCTATAGTCTAGTCTATAGTCTAGTCTATAGTCTAGTATATAGTCTAATTTATAGTCTAGTTTAAAGTCTAGTCTATAGTATAGTCTATAGTCTAGTCTATAGTCTAGTCTACAGTCTAGTCTATAGTCTAGTCTACAGTCTAGTCTATAGTCTAGTCTATAGTCTAGTCTAATCTAGTCTTTAGTCCAAAATTAGCGTTTTAATTGACAAAAAACAAATGGCCCTATCTACAAAAACATTTAAATATTAAAGGTAAAAATCCAATTTATCCATTTGTACTCGTATATACGCCATTGTCAACTATAATAACAACTGATATGTTTCACTATTAAACAATTTGTTTATTTACTACAATAAAACGCGTTGATAGAAACAAACTCTTCAATTTAGTTTTTTGCATCTCCTGTAAAATTTTAAAATGTTAGATACGGCCGTTTGCGTTTTAGGTGACGATATTGTAGACTTTAGACTAGACTACTGAAGGATCTTTTGGCTACTATGTGTACTACTTCTCAAAAGTTTATAAGTTAGAAAAAGCACAAAAAATGTCGTGGGGGTACCGAGGTATTTTTCGACATCAAAAAGTACTAAAATACTGAATTTTCCATGCCTGTTCTGTACTGCCGTAAGAATAATAACAAAATAATTAAATTGTTTCTGTTTTTCTTGTTTGTTAATTTTATTTATCTATATTTTTTTAAATTAATTTAAATAAATTGTTTATATTTTTTTCTTGTTTTCTTTTTTTAATTAAAATGACAATTAATACGTTGTAATTTGTAATTATGTTTTTTTTTCATGATTTTTTTATATTTGTTTTTCTTTAATTATTTTTTAATATAATAATGTTAAAGGTTGAGTTTTTTTAGGTTAGAATCTCTATACTGACACATGAAATTGTTTTTAAAATAAAAATAATAATTCATTTGAAAATAATAAAGTATTAGACATCTTTTTAGTATATAATTAAAATATTTTATTTACTTTTTTCTTTTTTTTTAAGCAAGTGTTAAGTTGTTTTTTTTTTTTAAATGGATTAATAGCTCTTCTTTTATTAATTTTTTAAATAATTACTTTCCTTTTGTTTTCTTTGTTACTAATGCATATTCTTTGTTGATTAAACATTAACATTTTCTTTTGTTTTTGTTTTATTATTATTAAATATGTTTTTTGTATATATTTTGTTGTTGTTGTTTTTAATTTCAATTGTGTTTTTTTTTTTTCATTTTTTTCTAAGTGCAATAAGTACCTGCAAGAATTGTAAAGTTTTACAGTGGGTGTCAATAAAATAGCACAGTTTTTTGTGAAAATTATAAACAATTTAATGATTTTAAACTAAAAACAATAGAATTTTTAAAAAGAGGAAATTATTAACACTTATTTTCTCTATTACAATTTGAGATCATTATAAAGCGAAATTTGGACTTGATTTTAGTTAATTCGTAAAATATTGAACCGATTGAAAACGTTCTGTTTAGAACATTATAGAGTCCATTGTTATCTGCTGTATGATGTCCGTAAGTATTAAGAAACATTTAAACAATATCGCGGACTTCCATCAGCACATTGATCATTAGAATTTCTTACAAAATTAGTTGATTTGGATTACGATCCATTTTCTACTTCAGTTGTGTCAGTATTATTATACAACTGATGGTCCAATGGAGGTGTTTGGAAAGGAATTTTAAATATCACACCATCGCTGATATGAGTTATATCTTCTGATATCTGTAAGGATGTTGAATGTTTAGAGATCAAGCCCAAGATGTTGTGCCTCTTTAACTAGGTCCACATATCTTCAGGACGGATTGAGTTCGAAACAATAGGCAATACAATTTTGCTCTATGCCTGTTCTCACTTGTGTCTGTACTACTCCTGTGGCTTTAATGCTTCAGGGGATACTCTCCACTGCGTTATATAGAAGTTAATGCGTTTCTTTCCAGAAATTAAAAGGGATGACATTATGTTCCTTTGCTCGTAATATGTGAGATTCCTCATGAACCGTCTGGAGGGTTAGAGGGTTTTGCCAGCATATGCTTTTCTCTATTTCTGCTATAGCCGACGACCTCCGAGCGTGACATTTACGCTATAACCTGAAATCGAGGTATTGTTGGCATCTCTACGAATGTATTTCAAAGCTGCTGAAGTACGTTCCAAGGGATCATGTACATCATTTCCCATTATCTCCTTGTATACGTGAAGTTCCCTCCTGACATGACACTGGGGTGCATTCAACTGTGTGATGTTGATGACTCCTACAGTAATATCCCATGGTGAACTGTTTAGTCATTATGTTGATTGACTGTAAGAAACTTCCTTTCCTCATGAGAGTGATGTCCAACTGGTGACAGCCTTTGGAGCAGCATTTTGGCATTTTTATATATTTATACACAGTGTATCACCCAGCAAAGGAGATCACAATGAAATAGCATAATAGACCACTGAGCGGCCAATTGTATTATAAGTGGACAACAAGGTTTCCTTATCCATACCGTTAAATAATACCAGTTTGCCCTACTAACCGGAAGTATTTCAAAATCTATGCGCAATTGCAGTAACGATTGCTGAGGAGGTGAATAAGCTGACCCACTACATTGTTAAGGGGTTCAATAAAATGTGGAATGCAGGTTTTGCACAAATAGCTCATCACCGTCATCATAAGTATACAATGGTCTACTGCTTGTAGAGATTTGAGAAGTTGAGGACGTTAGAAGTTAAACAGTAGGGGATGTCCTCCCTGTGGCATAACTTGTTTAACACTTGAGAGATTTTAAGCATGTTTCTATAAACTAAACTAACGATTGACCACCACTCAGACAAATTCACTATCGATCTCTTCAAATTGCTCTGTAATATCTGAGTGGTTATGGCGAGTTGCCAGTCTTCGCAACAGGAGGAAAATTGGTCTTTTAGAATGCCCCCTGTCGTTGCTAGAGGCATTTTACCTTGGTGTTATGACAATTCTGGGTTAAAAGAGATGCTACCAGTACCTCTAGCCTATCTTATTTAGCCCCAAGGCAACCGTTGGTCTGTAGGGCAGAGTTTCGTACTTTGTGCCGGTATTGGGGAGAAGTCTTCAGGGTGTCTGTGGTTGGAAACAAATCGCGGTAAAAAAGGCAACAGGTAGCGCCCAGACGAGCGACTGTGCGGATATGATGGGAATGAATTGATTGCGATTAAGGATGCGTACACCCTCAACGAGCGAATGTGTCGGATGTTTCTCTCTTAAATGTTTTGAATGAAAGAGTAAGTAGGCTGAGTTGTAAATGGTGATGAATGTATGGTATCCTACACAAGTACTATCGATAAAGTTGCCTTCTTCTATACAGGTATAAGTATACCAGACTTAACACAGTGTATTCTCTGTGAGTAAGAACTTGTCTTTGTTTTAGCACAGCTTAAGGTGCTGTTGCCAAAACAACAGAGTCAAATCCATTTGGGAACTTGGCTTCACCTGTTTGTTTGCGGTCCCGTTGTGTTGCCCTAGTTGTCATTGGAGTCCAAGTGATGTTATGCTTTTGAAACATTTCGTTAGTTAGTTAACGTGGCTGCGATGATCAGTGCTTGTACATAATGCATCATCGCCATGTACGAAACTTTGCTAACTGATTATTCCTTAGGGATTGGAAGGGGCGGTGGTGATTCGTCTCTAGCTCCTTAGTGTTCAAGAAAATGCCACCGTGCTATAAGGTCGAAAGGTAGGTGTTCAATTAAAACACTTCGTCGTCTTAAGTATTGAGATGACTCTACCCAGACATTGAGTATTATAAGGGTACTCCTTGACAGGTTGAAAACAGGTTGTCATAATCAAAAATTACGCCACTCGATAGATATCAATGCAAATGCCAATTTAAATTCTTTTAAAGAAAAAAAATTACAAATTTTTGGTTTATTTGATTTGAATATTCTTCAGGCTGTAGTTCGAATCCCATTTGGGAATAAATTTATTTTCCAAATTGTAATGATATTTTTAATTATAAGAAAATGTACAGAAAAATTGTATTTTATTGGACACAACAGTAGAATGGAATGCATTTTTGGGCCACAAAATATTATTTATTAAATTTAAAGTGAATCGAGCAGGAAAAGAAATATTGAAAAATTTTGAAACTTTAGATAATTATAATCATAAATGGTGCTATTTTATTAAACAGTTCTTGAAAGGAAATCAAAAAAAAAGTTCTATAGACAACAAGAAATCCTGCAGAATGAAAAATTAAGGAGAGAAATTAAAAAGAAAACTAAAAAAAGTTTTATTTAAAATTTGTATTTGTTTTTTTTTTTTTTTTTGTTTTAACTTTATTACCTTTATATATTTATCTCTTTTTAAATATATATATTTATATATAGAATTTTCTTTTTTTAAACAGTTATTATGTATTATTAATTTTTAAATTTATGAATATTGGAAAAAAAATATGTTTTTTTTTATATATATATATAATTGGGAATATTTTTTTCTTATTTTTTTTTAATTTTCTTAAATTTGCTTATAAACTAAGCTAACAATTACAAATAACACATGTTGTTTACGGTTTTTTTTTTTAACTTTTTAAATATTCTTTTAATTTTTTAAGTGCTCTGAGATTTGATAAAATTAATGGACCAAAAAAAAAACAAACTGTAATAAACAGAAAACTTAAATGAAAATTTAAATAAAATAAAATACATACTTTTACAGGGTGACTATAGTTTGTAGATATAGTGCGTGTTAGAAACTTCTTAACAAAAAGTGTAACCTTGATGCTGTTTAGTAAACAAATAAACCAGTTTATAAATCATAAAATAGAAAGTGTTTTGTTTTTTGTATAATTGATATTTATTTATTGTAAAATGTTTTTTTTTATATAACTATTTACCCATCACTTTAGGTGAGCTATATATGTGCCACTCCTTTCTTGAGGATTTTTTTTAGAGGGAGAAGACAGTAAGAGGAGTCCCTTATAACGTCTTGTAAATATTATTAAATAAAATGTATCCTTTATATATAGTTTTGTTTTATTTACTAACTGTTTTTTATACTAAGTGTTATTAGGTGTTTGTGTAACTGTGGGTTCTTTAAGTATTTAGTAATTTTTAACTTAAACTATTGCTTGAATTTTAATAATTATTATTTTTAAATTGGTGTTTCCTTAACAGCAGAAATAAAAGGAACTAAAAGCTTTAAAAAGGAAATTAAATTTAAAAACTTAAATCAACGAAACCAAACAACCAAATTAATGAAAAGTTTATAAGAAAGAGAGAGAGAGTGAAAGTGAGAGAGAGCCAGGCATTTTAGCATTAAGTATTACATTGTAAATAGTTGTAGATATTACATAATATAATAACAGTAATTGTTGGTAGTGATAGTAGTAAATGTTGTTGTTGTTAATGTTTTACAAAAACTATTTGTATTTTTTTTTTTTTTTTCTTAAATTTGTTTCTTTAATTTTTTTTAAGGTTGTTAAGGAAGGAATATAGTGCCATTTATATATATTTTTGTTTCATTTTTTTTTGTATTTGTGTAATTTTATTGCTATTGTTTTAATTTTGTTTTTTTTTAATAATATTTTCTTTATTAATACGACTTTATGGTTTTTTTTTTTTCTTAAAATTTCTTTTTGTAGCATTTTACTTTAAATTGTTTTATACTTTTTCTTTATGTTTGTTTTTATTTTGAAATATATGTTTTTTGTTTTGTTTCTGCTTTTTAAAGAGTTTATATCAATTATTTAAAAATATTGTTCCTAATCACTATCGGCCTTAGTGCCACGCACTTCACCCTCTTGACGCTGTTTGTCAAGTTCCTCCTTGA